TTATCTCATTTCCTCATTAATAAACATGAAATGTAATTGTAACAGTTAATTAGTTTCTCTTACCAAGATTAGATTTCTACACAAATCATCCTTCACAAGCGCAAGTAAAGATGAAAAGTTAGAAAGAGCGTCGGCGGCGATCTCCAATGCCACTTGTAATAAGCTAAGACCCAAGTGGGTCATAATTTCATTGTTTTGCTTGTCGAGAGGACTACATAGAGAAATAAGAAATCTGAATAGTTCACGAACGCATAACGCGCCGTACGATGCCCGCTGTTGTAATGGAATAAATCGTACTCCTTGACTATTCACATATTCCTCGATTTGCTCAGATTCCTTCACTTTAGACATCTTGGACACATTCTCGTCTATCGATAAATCTTCCACGCTACCAGTCGGAGATTGCGCTAAATCGATGCTTTTCTCCTCGTCGCCTGCACAATCATCCGAAAAATGTGAAGACGTAGATATTATTACAAAATTATTTATTTTAATTAATAGTAAAAGTCAAACTTGATTTTTATAAAACAATTTGACTATTATATTTATTTTAAAATGGCAAAAAAGACAAATACCTTGACTTTCTGAGACAGATTGCTTAATGGAAGATTCGGATTCATCTGTATTCTTCTGATCAGCTGTATCTTCTTTCTCTATGCTCTTATTTTCTGCCGAGACTGCGATTTTATTCTCCACATCGACATTTTCAGATGCATTGTTCGCTTCAACTGTTTCTGTCTCGTTCTTAATATCTCTGTTGCTTACATCTTTATCAATCTCCTGCTTCTTATTAGCCTCCTGATTATCCACTACTTTACAGTTGTTAAATGAACTTTGTTCATTTTCAGCAGTATCTTTGTTAATAATTTTAGCAGTATTTTTGGTAATAATTTTATTCTCATTTTTATCATCCTCGTTTTTGTCAATACTTCCATGATTCAATGATCCCTGCATATCAACGATATTACCAACTGGTGAGACGGGAGTGGTAGCCAAGTGAC